CATCAACAAGAGTCATCGTCATTATGCACCCCCTACTAACAACTTCAGACGAGACGCTTTACTAAAAGTTAATATCTTGGTCCAGTCTAGGCTCATACATACAAGGAAATCCCCTGGATAAACGGGCCTCAGATCCCTCCAGGGCCAAGGGGATCATTCTTTGCCTCCCTCCAACAATTGCAAATCATGACCGTCACATAATGTACTGCACACAGAATGGAGGGAACCAAAGGCATTACCTGCACCCCGGTTCATCGGATGCGGATGCGAGTGCTGTCTGTCTGTCGATACATGGATGCAGGATGCATCACCATTCTATAGAGCAGGTGTGTCAGCAGCCCTGCCACGCTGCATGCTGCTGCATGTTGGCACTGCGTCGCAATTGGACTCTCCATACTCCATACCGGTGAGCCTTGTTGTGGGGTAGATGGCCTCATGGCGGTACTTTCGGGGCTTTCAGGCGCAGCAACTTGACTTTCAATCTCGGCGGCTTTTGTATGCATGCATGTACGATCCTGGGGCATTCACAATTGGCCCAGAGAGCCAACGTATGATGGTGTTAAGTGGTCGCAGTCGCAACCATAAATCTGCATGTTGAAATGTTCCCCCCTCGAAATCCTTCAAGGCAGCTAGTAGATACCGTCTATTCGGAACGTAATGCCTCTTCTCGGAAGATCATCCCACGCCTGAACCATGGTTGGAATCATCAGATGTCGTGGGGTCCAGAGCACGTGGGAAGATTGAGTTGATCTCTATCGCCCAGCCAAAGGCTATCAACATGATGATTTGGGGTGATAACATGACGAGATAGCATCCGAGAGAGTTTCAGAGTGTAATGGTAACCATGATGATGGCCTTACCTTCTGTTGACCCAATGCGTACCTTGATGTTGGTGTGTTCAATCTCCGTCCTCCGTTCCCGATACCCCGCCATCCTTGCTCGCTGTAGAGATAGATTTTGACGTGATGACACCCACCAAATGCGGGATTCGGGTTTGGATCACAAGCCTCGGCGGCTGTTGAATGCTGTTTCCAGCCAGGGCAAGACGAAAAAGGACAAAAGACCATGTCTTGAGGAAATCACCATTTGGTCGGTGAGAAGGGCATCCCTAGCTCATCACACTGACCGGTTTGGATCCTGGCCCCATGTGAAGAAAAGACGCTGCATGACATGCATCGAGTCCTCCGAGAACAGAACAGTCACTTTTTTCAATGCCAAGTTTCATCCCGACTCGTTCTCCTCTGCGTGTGTTAATCTCGCGCAACCCATTTTAGGAAAGGTCCTTTTTCTTTCCTCTCTCTCTCTCTCTCTTCCGTAATTTGTATGTATGGATGTACCGACCGTTGATGAGCCATGGATTGTGAAACAGTGGGTGGGTGGTGATAAGAGGCATGGGAGATTTGAGAAGGTCGCAAGTAGGGGACCTTTCGGAATGGAAGACCGTTATGCTTGATTGATAAGAACTAGATTGGCCGTGTGGGGTCCTTGCGAGCACCTTTAATTCTCTCCTCTACTCCATACCTACCTACGTTATTAGGTACTAGGTAGTGGAGGGTGAATCATGCGACGATAGACAAGGGCCCCAAGGTTTGCGTGATGGATGATTTACAGTGCAGCGCTGTTATCATGGGTGTCTGGTCTGTCCCAGCTATCCGGTCTAGGTAGGTGAGTAAGAAAAAAGCTTGGTACGATAGCGAGGATTCAGAAACTCGCGAATGCCACATCTCCGGTCTCTCTCAAAGAGTCTTTGTTTCCCAAACTCAGCTTCAGCCTCATCTTATCAAAAGTCGTGATAACGAACCCCCATGCCGTGACGCTTCTGCCTCAAGGGATCTCCCACGTACCCCACGTCGCGGATCTGTCAAACAATCGGTCTCCATTTTTGTACATTCTCATGACCTTGGTACAGTAAGTTACGTGGTGTTTACTTATGTGTAGCGAAGCGAACGCGACGACGACGTGGCAGACAAACCGAAGCTCGGGGATTGAGTGCGAGACTCGGATTGGCTGAGGCTTCTCGAATGAAAAGAGAATGAGAAACTCGGGGCGAGCAGCGAGAGCAACACGTGCGGCTGTCTTGCCATATCCCGTTCTCCAGGCTTTGCAGGATTCAACTGCCTTGCCCGTACGTACATGCAGGGGGAGGTCCAAGGAAGAGATACATATCGGTAGATGTTGGTGGTGACGAGTACATTGCCTGCATTGCAAGCGGTGAATGGCAAACTAACCGCGCTTTGCGTAGAGTAAACAAACCTCCCTCGTCCCTTTCGCTTCTTACGCTTTGGCCCACGATGCTATGCTGCTGTTGCTCGTCATCGTTGAACCTCATATTTACAACCGTGCTCTGCGGACTTTGAACCCACGATGTCAAAGACACATGACGGCATGACATGTACACGCCCTCTCTAGTCAAGTTCGCCGAGGAACCGTTTAGAGTATTTCGTGTCAAAACAACTCACTATAACATACACAGCAAAGGCGGGCTGCTAGTCCAAACTCTGATACCAACGGCCGGTGACGCCTCGTGCAGAAGCGAAAACCAACATTCCCTCCACTACGAGAACCATAAAACTTATTCCCACTGAGAAAAGAGACAACTAACGTCTCAATGGCGTAACCTGCGCTAATAGACACTAAAAAGCAAAGCGTAAAGTCCGTGCAAATATCTCAACAGAAACGTGATTGATGTTTGAAGATGAGTGAGTTGGAACGATATGAGGAGGCTTTTGGAAATGACTGTCAAGGCGAAGCGGGTACAATAGGCTTGACTCAGCAGACAGACCAGATTGAGACTCCCGTCGGCACGATGCGGTACCTAGCGCCAACGCGTCAAGAGGGAAGCCAACAGCATCAAACTAGCGGACGAAAGGTAAGGTCCAGGGGAAAAGAGATGGTGGGAGGCAAGAAGCGAACAAACAAACCAACAAACGTGGGGATTGATGCCACAGAAAGAGAGAGGAAAGAGAAAAGTGATACAGATCCAAGTATCACAGTATCACAGCACTTTTGTATCCCTACATACTGTAGCCATCTAGTTTATAAGGATCTGCTTGGCTAGACCAGATGCCATGTCGCAGTGAGTGCACACGCGCTGATGGATGGATCCCCCGTTCGGTAGATGAACATGAGACAATATCCATCCACGCATCGATCCATCCAACGGCGCGCAAATCACGGAATCGCACTAAGTTATCTCCTCTGACCGAAGCCAAACATTCCCATCCCATCCCATCCCATCCCGTGCTTTTGCCCATCACAGATTTGCCTATCCTATTACAACAGAGACATGCCACGCTCTTCATCACAGAGGAATTCTGGAGATATGTCAAAGGCGTATCAGCGCGGGTATTGCCAGCCGCGTGATTCAGAATGTCACTCGGCATATCATATCGTCAAGATTGAGCGGCCCGTAGCGGGATGGGTCCAAACTAAAAGGTCATAGTAATACTGTAATCTCTTGTACCTTTGTGAATTTTTCCCTGATTCAGTATAGAACTTCCCAGTTTTTTCCAGCTCTTTGCTTTTTTGGTTGTGATCAATTAATCTAGCGCATACCGCCTGTACGTATCATCGTCTTTGGCGGATCAAAATCATCAAGGTACGCGAGAGCTGATAAGTTTACTAACAAGCAATATTCTAGTATTTCATTTCCTGCGCCTAACAATATGCAACTATCTTGGGTAGTCTCAGCTGTGATCAGTAGTAAAGATAGGTTTGGTAAAGCAACAAAGACCCCCCATGCCATGCCATGCCATGCCATGCGCGGCAATGTCAGGAAGGACTAAACAATAGTTAAATAACGCCCATGCCATCGAGTATAGAGAAAGAAGGTGTAGTAGAAAATGGTTTCCAATCCAATCCCTTAAACCCCCTCCCAAGTGATATCTTTGATTCCCATAAATGCCCGTTCCATGCATGCACCAAATAGTCCAACAAGGTAGTTGTAATTGAGTTGTAAAATAAATAAAAATAAGCGCGCCAAAAATAAAAAATAGTAGTCAAGACTCCTTCTCGTGCCAGATGTGGTTGGGTTGCTTCTTCTTCTTCTTCTTCTTCTTCTTCTTCTCTCGAGAGATCAGTCCAAGAGGTAAGGTAGGTGTTGCTTAATAATAGGCTGCTCTGATGACGGTCATAAGACCTCTCATGCAGATAATCATCGGAGTAGCGCCCGAGGCTGGTGGTGTGGCGTCCAATGTCGAGATGAGGGTGAATGTGCTTGTCCTGTGCATGGCATCGACTGGGTTGTAGTGTACTGCACTGCAGAGCTCCGATGGCCTGAGCTCTCCCCTGTCGGTGGCGAAAAGATGCACATTGCAGGAGTCTGAGCACTTTCTTCAGTGGCCCCCATCCCCCCCCAGCTTTCTGGCTCTCCTCGAGAGCTGGTCCCGGGCTGTCGATCGGACGCCATCCCCCCCAAAAAGGTACCAAAGCTTCTGCCATGCTTGTAAACGCCTCTTGCGAGTCAAGATGGAGGAAGTAGACTACTTTATCCCCCATCCCACATCGGCCAAAAGAACGGGTTTGCACCCAAAAGAGCCGAATTCTTTTCCTTCCAGATAATAAATGATGATAGTAAAAATGATGAACCAAATGCTTTCCTGCGCCTTTCCAAGGTATCGATAAACTGTACTTTTTTCTGTGTTTTTTTCTTGTTCGATGCTGTATTTCGTTGATTCATATGTCCACTTCCGAGTCCACGGTTCCGAAGTGGGGGGTGCCATGTCTCACTTGAGTCGACCACCTGGTAAAGCACATCGCTTGGCTTGATGAACCTGCAGACGTCGACTGTTCGTTTCGATGGAGGGATATCTCGGCACCGTCGGCGAGAGAGAAACGAATGAAGTTGTATCTTGTTGTTTCAACTCATTCGAGAGGTCGGGTTTCGTATGTGTGCGCGGGGATGGATAGATAGGTGAAGAGTGTCGCCTTATTGGACGTTGGAGTGGCAGATCGGCTGGCGACATATCGAGGACTCGACCTGCGAGACGGATCGCTCGTTTTCATTGCGCACGAAGTTGAGGAGAGTAGGACAAGCGTGACTCGGGGCGTTGGATCAGTTTCGCCCATGGGTGATTGCTGGGTTGTTGGCGTTCGCGACAGGCAGCTAGAGAAGTAATTAGTACGGACGGGTTCATGCATCAAAAGTTGGCCGTCGCTTGAGAGCATCGAGTCGGGCCTTGGAACTGTCAAGACATACCACAAATGTCGTCACCCCTATGGATATTTGTTAGCGAATGTTCATGTGTATTGTGAAAATGATTATGTTGACTCACCAGTACTGCTTGCTCACAATGGTGGGCGGACACCGACGTTCTGTCTCGATATACTTGGGACACCATGATTCTACCAGATGGTAGTGGTGTTGGCAGCTGAGTTCCTTCTGTAAAATGGATTAGCATTCATCTTCTACATGACCATTCACCATCACGGTGATATGGTGTATGGTGATATGATGTTGTATGTTCTGACTTACATAGATGTAGTTGCACATTGTGACAATCCCGACCAAGTTGTATCGATTCTAAAAAATCGTGGACCAAGGTATAATGAGTATATGAGTCGATCGGCCCAGGATGAAGATGGCCAGGCTCCTTGGTTATATATATACAATGAGCAATAGTGGTGAACCGGCCGAACTCTATATCAAGAAAGTGAGGGCAGGTAGTAAAGTAGCGTTCAAGGATGCTGCTAATGTTGGGTAGCAATGGCGGGCGACAAGGTTCCTGCTGAGACGGACTCCGGTACGGTAACACGCTGCAACGTCTTGGTTGAACTGGAAATGGCTTCGAGGAGGGGAATACAGATGTATTTAATGACAGAGACAAGATGGACCCAAAACAACGGTACAGAGGCTAAAGAATCCCTACGGACGGGGCTCAAAAGGAAAATGGTTGTTTATTATAGCTTTGACAAGAGAAAAGGGCCCTTCCATACCATCCATACCCATACCTAGGTGACCCCTGTTGACAGACAGCCCACTGCCATCGAGGGAGCCATAGCAGAGCGAGCAGCATCGCGAGCTAGCACACCCTCACTGTACGTACATAAGAAGGGAGGGCGTGTTCTCTGCTGCTAAAAGTTTTGATGGTGGCACTTCCATCTCTCTCCGAGAAACAAGGGATGGGGGGGTGTTTGTCTGGGGTTCTTTTTTTTTTGTGAGCTGAAGAGCGGGAGGGAGTGAAAGGGGGGGTGTGACTATCCATGGATAGAGTTGCAATGATTTGCGCATGCGTATGCATATATCGAGAGTGACCCGTTTACTGGGATCAACTTGTTTTAATCTAAGGCGAAGCTATCCTCCACCTGGCAAAAAAGTCCCCCAAGAATTGAAGGCCACTCGCTGTCTGTAGTGTCTGGTGAAACACACAGACCAATCTGCGAGCCCTCACGTCTTCGGCGTCGGCGAAGTGAGGATGAGTTTGGGTTTTGCAATTTATTTTAGCTACGCAGGAGAAAGACCCTGAGAATGAATGAAGGAGTGTCAAATGGAGGATGACTCACCGAGGGTTGGCCGAGGCACATGCAAGACAACGGTCGATGCTATTCCCAAATGACATTTCTCGTTACGAATGAATAAACGATAGAGTAGAAATCACTGTCGCACATGCCGAAACAGCTGGGGGATCTAAACTTGGACCCTTCCATTTCACTCCACCATAATATTCCAGAACCACCAATACCGCCGGCAATCCCCTTCCCCTCACGATGATGTTACAGTACCGATGTCCATCCATCCATATCCATCTTGTATCAGGTAACAGCACATACATACAACCTCACATTAAGTCAAGATGCTTGCTCGTTCGCTATGCCTTAGCTCATGGATTGGGTACTCACCGCAATACTCTGCCACAGCACAGCACAGCACAGCATTCTCGTTAACTACCTAGTTAGTCTCTGGAGTGAGGAAACTGTCTCCAGGGCGGAGCCGCCGTCTAACTCACCTTAGCCTTCAGGGTGCTTGCTACGATCCACAATATGAATCAGAGCTGTCTCTCTCTGGCCGCCAGACCGCGCCCTCTGCTCTGCTGCTCGAAATATTTCGTGACGGTGAGCAAGAACAAAAGGTCTTGGACCCTTGAAAAGGGAAAACCAACGTCCCGCCTACTCCACCGCGAGGGGAGCAGCACCTCAGCAACGATGACCGCCTCCAAAGCAATACCTACCTATCTACTCGACTCTCACTCACCGTTTTATCTGATTAGGAGTTGCATCACCCGAGCAGACACGGGCCGCCGGGCACGTGGAAGCCTCCCTCAATGAGCCAACCTAACCCCTTGGTGTGATCAGCATGTTGTACTTCCTAGAGCGGGACGCAACACGACCGTTTTGAGGGGTCGAGACCTTTCTGATATTGCTTCTTTCGAGAGACCAAGTCAACTTTTACCAGTCATGACATGCCAATTAAGGAGACTCGTCATTATTCGGGCATCCCTTGCCTGACCAGTCATCAAGGTAGGTACCTAGGTAGGATGCTGTTTTGACTGGCTGCGATGATGCTGGTTTGGCTGAATCAATAATAGAAACAAGGTCTATCTGATAAAGGGCCTGCCTGCCTGCCTGCGTCAATGCACATCACATCAAAACGTACATAGAAAAGATTTTCTTGCACGGCATTGCGTGCAGGTCAGGTTAGTCTGGTTTACTGCGGTGCACGGCCGTGTTTTGTGTCATCGCTGTCTATTCTGTTGAGCGAGGGGAATTAATTAATTATCCGTACTTATGTAATTACTTAATTACAGCAAAATATGGACGACAGAGCGAGAGTAATGAACCTGTCTGACCCACTGCCAACGTCTCAGTCTCTTCTCGACGTGCCCTGTCTATAAGGTTCCATTGGACTTAGATGAGCGACACTGGGAGCTTGGACGCTGACGCCATTGTCTGCTGGGCTGGGCTCGGCTGGGCTTTCGTATGGCCCCTGGCGAATTTTAGAGGGCTCAAGTACCGTCTTGATTCCATGACACACATTTCCACTGCCGGGTATCACCATTCGGAGAATGACCTCGTTTCGTTGCCCAAAACGACTGGGCTGTCGTGTCTGGGCCATATGGACTACCCGAGCTTAGATATGACATGACCCCATACACGACAGCATCGCATCGTGCATGGAATTGGCATTTTAGCACGCATATTTTGGCGCTCTGCTCCACTGCACACGTGGGTGCAATGCCGGTAGCGGTATGTCCTGTGCTGCGCTGCGCTGCGCTGCGCTGCTCGGCTTGTCACCCAGCCGAAACGTATCCGCTACCGAGAGTTTGATGAGAGTCCATAGGTAACATTTACAGGGCTCACAGTGGTGCAAGCCTCAAGGCCCCTATAAGCTTTGCTGGTGATGCTGTTATCTAGGCGCACCTGACCTCAACCTGAGTAGGTAGGTAGGTAGGTACACATTCACATTCACATTCTGATATCTTGTCGTCGCCAACTCATTCGACTACTGCACAATCTTTAAGCCTTTCACCCGCTGCCTCCACGTGAGCTTTCTACTTTCCTAATGAGGAACCGGTCAACAAGTTTCAACATGGCTATGCACAAGTTTGAGCCAGGCCTCGCTGCAGGCCTACGCTGTCAAGCATGAGAATCCCACCAATTGCGGCTAAACGAGCTCACATCCTTGCTGCACTCTACAGGGGGTGTTTGTTCTGTTTATGTCAATGCTCATTTCATACATACATACATACATACATATATACATACATACATATCTCGATGCTTTTCGTACAAGTTTTTTCTTGATTCATGACACAATCAATCACAGACCAGACCAGGTTTCAAAAAGGAGAAACACCCGACAGCACACACTCTCTCTTTTACGATGCGTCATGTTCAAGACTACTAAACTTAGCGAAAAAGTCTTCCGCTTCTGCAAGGCGTCTTCTGGAATACATAAATAATTTCCACAATCTCCACAGTCGATCCGACGCCGTCTCTTGGTTGATACCACACCGCTATCCAATCAGCCCTGCAAATCCAGATTTTCGTGCTCTCCATGGCAAATTATCTGCCAAGGGGGACTGACGGGTGAGTCCTCCTAGCCTCTACCGACTGGCTGGACGACTTTGCCCGGGACCTAGGAAATCCCCCCCGAGCAAGCCAGACATGTCATGCTATGGAGACTACTTGTCTCCATACAATGGCCATGTCTAGCTGTAGCTTGTGTTTCTAGTCCTCCGAGACTATCATCGTCTACTCCGTGAAGAGAAAAAGCTCCTCTTTGCTCAAACGCCTTCAATCTTATCAATTCGATACTATTCATACCATCGCCAGATTTCGTTCGTCCTCGGGCTCGCTATTTGGTCAGTGAACTCCCCTGCCTCTGACGCCAAGTTCACCCTAGCCTAAAGAACCTGGCCTCTGTTGCAATCGTCAACTCGGCCAAGCCATAATGCCCCTCTCTGCAGGGGTTTGTCCAATCACGTTGGTCCCAGCTTTCTTCTTTGGCGTTCCCAGTACACGGGCTCGGGCCTCGGGATGTTCTGCTTCTGGTGGGTGTGACAGCCCCAATCCCAGCCGAGTTCCAGGGCCAGCAGCCGGCTCTTCTGACTCTTTCTCTGCTGTGAGGGAACTACCCTTCGTCAATGCGAATCGTTTCTCATGCAAGGGTGACGACACTCGGTATTCACTTCAGCTGTCAACTTACCCGAGCTACATACATACAGAAACACTTCGACATGTCTGTCTCACTTCCTACATGAACTGCTAAAATCTGACGAACCAACAAAACGGCCGTTGAAATGCAAAGCCTAGAAAGCTTAAACGAGACAGAGTTTACTGACACCTATCAAGCTGGGCATGGGTTTGCAGAACGCCATCTTGAAGATCATACTCACGGAGCGCTGCAGCCTCTGTGGGCAGAACTGTACATACATACCGTGGCATGCCTAGTTACGGAAACCATGTCCATCTTTCCATGACCCTCGCCAGGTCCAGAAACCTGTAACCCTCCGAGGACCTCTGCGGTCATGTCTCGGAGCTATCTCTTTAACGAGGTCATTCTCAGGTCAAGTCCGCCACGTTCAATCCTGATCCTTCAGCCTGGAGATGAACAGGGCTTGAAGCCCAGTTCACTCTTGTCAGACCAGGATCGTGCGGATCTCTCGTTCTTCGTCATCGCCTGTCCTATCCTACCCTTGGTCTGAGCTGGTTACCAAAAGAAAGGTTTTCCCTTCCCTTCCCTTCCATTTCCATTCCTCCGGGCAGATCATGTAATCCCGCCTCTGCCGGGAAATCACACAGAGTGGAACTCGTTCGCCCTGAGTCAAATCTACTGACTGGTTACCGAGCGCCTGGGTACGAACGATGAGGCAACAAGCGAGGAAACACCAGTCATTCCATCAGAGGCGGAAAAAAAAGGAGAGATTTGTCTCGGCCGGTTTTGCCGGGCTAGACACACGACAAGACACTCATAACTTGCTAGTGTATATGGATAACTGCGCATGCAATAACCAGATACGAAAGGCGAATCTTGCTTCAATAACACTTCACGCAAGAGGTGTGTGGATTTGTTACTCAGCAAACACTAATGTAAATGATGCAGACCGCTATTTGACAGCTGTACGATGTCAACAACGCATGCATTATGCATATGGAGACAAGGCAGGTTTTGACAGTCTCGAACTCGAAGGCCTTTTCGCATCTCGAAAACTTCAGCATCTCGAACTCGATAAAGATGAAGAAAGTGTATACGCGGAAACCGCCAGGGCCGCTTCAAGCGCTGACAGGTAGAGGATGCAAGGCACAACCTGTCAACCCCAGACTTGGCACGTTACTCAAAAAGGAGTCCGTGGCTTTTTCTGTTCTCTGCGGAATTGTCCCCGCTACGTAGTAGACTGGCGGAACCACCAAAGAGGTGAACCTCGTCGCTAAACTCACCGGTTTTACTAGTCGCCGCCAAGTTCACATGAGTTGCAGAAGTGCTTTATGATGGTTGCTTTGCGGGCGGCTTCTGGACCGGGCCGGGTGATGATGGATTTAGGCATCATGCGATTCTTATTGAAGGCTTTGTTCCTCATTTGTATTTGATAATCGTATTCGGGGTGAGTTTAGAGAGAGCTCTGGAAGAGCCGGGACTGCGAATACCCTACATCGGATACATACATGAAAGAGTCACTAGGATTGGTCTTTGATGAAGTGACTCCGGTGCGTTGCGAAGGACAGGGAATTGATCATGCTATGAATTTCTTCCGATGAGACAGTCGCTTCTGCCGTTCACTCCCTATATGATCGGCCTACAACATAGCAGCATATCATGATAAGCAGATCGCGCCTAAGAACTCGTCATGATGATTCTGGCGTGAGCATCCATGCATTGCAACAAGGTACAGTTACCAGTAACCTGGTTAATCATGACTCCTCAAGGATGATCGCGAAGGAAGCGATATTTGCGATGTAACATAGGCAGCAGAGTGTCTATGTACCAGAGACTGTTTCAGGGCATCTTGAACAGTTACTACCCCATGTCCTCGGCAGATTCCTCATCAGAAGCATAAAGGTGTACATCTCGGCCGAGGGAGGATAAAAAGCAATACAGACGGACACAAAGTTGGCCTATCGTAGATTGATTGTGCCCCATGTTATGATGGAATCCTTGTCTCGCACCAAGTCTGCGGAACCGTGCTGCTGGATATTGGCGAGATGACGCAGAATGTAAAACCGCATGGGGTCTTTGCTTTGCCATCAAGAGACACCCAGATTCTTCTCCCTGTGAGACAAAAGACGTGCTCTCTTTTGGGGGCCTATGCTCAAAACAAGACAGGACAGGGATGTGTTGAGCGCGAAAAGGGAGGGACAGGATGGAGATCCTGACATTTCTGTCGCACATGCCTCTTCAGGAAAAGAAGGGTCCAGATTGACTGAGATATTTTCACTTTGGAAGGGAGGAGAGTTGAGTTGGGCATCAAGATCTTCAGAGGTATATCCACTGCTAAATCCCGAGGCAATGGACATGTGTGGGACTTTGCCTGGATCGGAAAGAGTTTACCCATTACCAAGCCGTTGGGCGAAAGCTTAATTTCATTCGTTCTATTACCGTGAATTAGTGATTATTTCTCTCTCTTTGCCCTTGCGTTTCATGAGATTTGCTGCTTGGCTTGGCTTGGCTGGACTAGAGAAACTGAGAGAGAGAGAGAGAGAGAGCCGACGTGATGTGGAATGGCTCGCGGCTGTGCCGTTCTCGGCGTCGGGGTCTAGGAACGTTCCGTGTAGCGAAAATGCGTCCCTTGCTTATGAAGACTTCCAATGGGATTCGATATCGAGGGTATGTACATACAGTACAGTACTGTACCTATATGGATGCACAGCTACGCAGGTAACACTGAACAGAGAGAGTACCTACTGCGCTCCAGAGCTGATGACGACTCAGTGGGGGGCTTGTATTTGTTACAGCTCAGGTCAGGCCAAGCCAGGTCAGGTCAGTCTAGATATTATTTGCCGGTGGAAGGATTGATTCGATTCGATTCGACACATTCCTCCATTCACCGTCTGTCACTTATCAGATTCGATACTGGGAGTAGGAGGTTTTAAGTTAAGTTATACTACTTACGTGCATGCAAATGAATGCACGTCTTGATAAGTGCATCTCGGGTCAGACGTTCCGAAGACGCCTTGGGTAGTGTCGTGAGAATTATACCCTCTTTGGAGTAGGAAAAACGTCGTGAATGGTAAGTCTCTGTGCCAATAAACGCGTAAAAGTCATAGCGCTCTTTGAATCAACAGCCTTCTCGTACTTGTACCCCTGTCACATCGTGCAGGTTGACGATCAAACCTTTCCAAGGATAGACCGTAACGGCATTCCTATTCCATCTCAGTCATTTGCTTTGTTATCGTATATGCACACATTGTCATAGCGATATCGATTATCGACTGCAGAGCGAGCATGGCCTGTTCTGCTTCAGGGCGTCACCAAGACACGGGTTGAGAGGGAGAGTCAGGGAGTCGTCGAGTCGTAAACTCAAAATAGGTAGTCCAGACAGGGCAGGGCGTGTGCTGTTAGAGTTTGCAGGGGACACTTAAACGGGCAAAGCTGGCGATACTACTGGGCGTTAGCCGTTAGGTAGTCTAGTGTCGGCACATCCCTCACCCAAACACCTGCCTCCGAGGAGCCTTCTAGAGCGTCGGTCCCAATCAGATACCGCTGAGGACCTCTGTGGTCTTGTGTCGGATGCATCGTTGGCTTCCCCTAGCGGGCGCTTTTGACGCCGGCAGACTCGACGTCCTCGTGTCTTCAACTGGGTACAGTAGCCAGCTGCCCTGGCCCTGCCCTGCCAGGCCTTGCGATAGTTGCAGTTACAGTTGCTCTAGTTAAACGAGACGTGGGGAGGGTTGCAATTGCGAGGTTCGGTCATATGCGAGGCTTTGATGAGAGTCAGTCAGTCAGTCCCTCCCTCTGGTTGTCTCTTTTCTCCTCGCGATGCGGATCGCCAATGAAAGACTTCGGAGGCGACGCCGCGCGGGAATAGAGACTAGTCGTTAGGGATTTTCAGGGCCCTGAGGATCAAATTCCCGTCTGGGAAATCCGAAGATGAGCGGCATATGATTTACGCTGTTCCAGATCTCTGGGTCAGTTGGGCATGAATTGGGCTTCAAGTTCGACGACGAAAAGATTGCCACTCTGAGAAAATGGGAATTGTTGGGAATAATAGGGGATTTTGATGAGAGACGATGGAAGTCTGGTGTTTCGTGAATGTGCTTGTGAAGTTTCTGTATTATTGCCCCTGGATTCGTAGAGTTGAGGCTTGGTATGCTGGTAAGCCTCCTCACAGACTCTCGACACTTGGTGATGTGAGCTTGTCTCAGTGAAAAACGATGGTATGTATTAGTGAATTGCTTCTTGAGGCCTCCTCCATCTTGAAACAGAACAGTTGAAGCCCCTATACCGGTACTGCATCCATCCCCAGCCCAGTTACGCATCCAACTCGTGCCCTCTCATCAGGCCACTGCCCCCTATGAATCTATCAAAGGCTCTATCTCACTCCGCAACTCAACCAGATGCTTCGCCAAAGCCTCCTCGCGATCCCGAAACGCCTGAAAAGACACATCCACGACCCCCGCGAACATGGTAGCTGCGTTCCCAGCCCCTGACCACCGCGCCGTCGAACCTCTCAGACGAGATAAGAACTCCTCTGCCAGCTGGATCGTGAGAGACATCTGCAGAAATGGAGAGGACTCTACAGCGAAGGACCCTACCGTCACGGCGGGTAGTTTCCAGAAGCTGAAGGTCGTACCCGTGTCTGTCTGTGTTGCTAGCTCTGTGTGTACGAGGCTGAAGACTCGTTGATACATGTCGAGCAGACGCACGTATATTGACAAAATGAACATTGCATTGCCCGGATCACTTCCATCAATGGTAGAGTGATGCATCTTACTCCCATCATTGTTGGAAGGTGGTTTCTCAAGAATATCAGCAACACGTCGCGTAAGCTTGAACATATCCTCAATGGGAAACCCCTGACTTCTGAACCTCTCATCAACAGGACGAGCCATCAGCGGTCCATCCTGGGGAGAAGGCAAAGCGGACGCCAGGTCCAGCAGCCGGGCGTTTATGTCGGACAACTGCGCCATCCAGTGAATCGGGGGAACCTCGTGCTGCTGCAGCGGCGACAAGTCAGCGTCGTGGCGGAGCGTGATCTGTCTGGGCCTAGGTCTACTACTCCTCTGCTGCTGCTGCTTCGACTGCGTGCGTGACGCGCGCTTGTCAGAGGTGCTGCTGTGCTCAGGTGCACAGCTCAGGGGCACGACGTGCTGCTGGTGAAGGGCGTCACGCTCTGGTGCAACTTCACCCGGCGGCTGGTGATAAGGGTGTTCAGGTGGCTGCTGGTGCTGGTGCTGGTGCTGGTGCTGATGCTGGTGCTGGTAGAGAGGTGCAGGTTCCCAGAACACAGGACGAGTTCCGGGGAACTCGGAGTGAGATAAATACTGAGGATTTGTGAAGAAGGCGAGCTGCTGGTCGAAGGTGAAGGCAAAGTCGGTGCTGTCGACTACGGGATCGGGTGAGACAGGGACAGGGACGGAGACGGGGAGGATATGACTCTTAGACGTCAGGCTGAGGCTGTTGTCTGTGTCCGCGTGTGTATGGGTATGGGTATTGGTATTGTTATTGGGTATTATTGACACCGTTGCTTCTCCTTGACTCGGCTGTGAGTCGGTTGCATCCAAGACAGAAGAAATAAGAGGGTGATAAAGCAGAATGTTAGGGGGCACGTACCCGCGTCGGGTGAGACAAGACTCGGATCCTCTTGACTATCTGTCCGTCGTCGTTTCGGCGAGCGGCGTCCACTCGAAGTAGCCGTAAGAGAAGAAGTCGTCCCGTTATCAACAAACTGTTGCTGCTGCTGCTGTTGTTGCTGGCTCTCCGCAAGCTGCTGCTGGTTCTTCCTATACCGTAGCGACGGACTAGACTTGCACTCCGTCTTGAGTCTGACGCACCTCTCGCACGCCTCGTCGTTATATCGTTTGCAGCTGAGTTTCTGCGCGTGACAGCGATCACAAGCTTTTCGATGGACCGTCTCTGCCATGACATCAGACTTTTTGTTTTTTTTTCGAACGGCGGCAAAGAATAAGGGGGAACAAAGATGGGCGGTTTATAGAAAGAAGGGAGGGAAGAATTTAGTGATGCTGTATTATGTTTTTGGTGGCACAGTAACAGCTCTTCCCACAATTCGAGAAGTAGGAGGAGGAGGAGGAGGAGGAGGAGATGGGAGGAACAGAGGCTCATGCATGGACTCGCCTACGGAGCGTGTCGTGCTGCATCGAGGATCCTGTCGCTTTTGCCAGTGAGGCGGTTCCGATGCTGTCGGTATCCTCGTCGTGAGACCATGTCAGGGGTATCCGATCCAATGGATCGGCGTCGATGAGGAAGATGAGGCAGATGAGAATCTGCTATGTGTGTCTCGACGCCGTATCTAGAGATATCATCAAGCGGAAGATACTGAGCTCATTACTTTGAATCAAGCACTCATATCAAGTCAGAACCAACTCCCTTCCTTATTATCATCAAGGTCTCTCATCAATCTCAACAAGCGGTGGCGTCTCTTCCCTCCTCTGCAATGTATCACAGCAGCACGCCTTGTGCCCCTCGACCATGTGGTGCAACACGAGGCACGTCTTTCTCTGCTAGCCCTGTCCTTACAGAAAGCCTCGTTTGGGTCTTTCCCTTTTCTTCACCGCAGATTTGAGAAAGAGGCTTGATTGATATATCGGTTCGACGGTGTGCTTCATTGGAGGGTAGTTCGGCGAGCCGCAGTTACGTGGAGGCGAAGAAGACGAAAGCGATTTGTTGATGAGCTGAGTCAAATATTGCGATTGTGGCCAGTCACTGGTCTGAATGGCAGCATTGCTCTTCTTTGGCTGCTATATTCTTACAAGTTGTGCTCTTTGTGCCCCTCTACTCACTCTCTAACATAAACCTACATACAATCACACCACGTTCCATGATCACTTCTCATGACATCTCCCACCATATCACCTCAGATCATGCCGATTCTCCACCTATAACTAATACGTAATACCTCCCCCAACTTAATCTCGATCGGTTCATCATCCGATCTCATCCCCACAGACAAGGGTATCAATATTTACTTTTTCTCCCCCATCGTCGTTTAAAGTGACTGCATACAACGTCGTCCACAGACAGGCGAGACATTGGACGGTGGCGTCCAGTCGTAACTCAAGCCTTGCCTGGGAAGATAAAACACTCACACACATGTTGTCGCTATTGTCTCTCGTTACTTTTACTCGTGGCTCGTCTCACTGTACTACATGTGATACTGATACGTCGGCTATTTACCAAGACACACTCTTAAGTTCTTCACTTTGGATATTATCGAGCTAGAAGCGAACGAACTTTAGGTTGGATCGTTCTTTTTTTGTTCTTGAGGGCGGTATCTGGTATCTAGTATATGCACTCTTTCTTCAATCTGAGCAAACAAAACATACCGCTGCAAAAAAGCACAGCAGATCCTCAACGCCCTCGACATGCGAGACAATAAACCAATTAAATACAAGGAAACCCATCATATGCGACACATAAGTTTTTAAATATCACCAGTCTTGAAGAGCTCGAGGTGCTGGCGCTCACGGGGAACACCGTTCTCCTCGAGGAAAGCCCTGACGTTGACCATCCAGTCCTCAGGTCCGCAGATGTAATACTCAGCATCGGCGTTGTCGAGCTGGAGAAGCTGCTCCTTCTGGAGCTTGGCAAGGTCGATCTCGCCCTTGAAGTCGTACTGATCACCCTCTTTGACGTCCTCAAGGAAGATCTTGGCGGTGATGTTCTCGTGCTTCTTAGCAGAGTCGAGAACATGAGGAACGAAGCAGGTAGATCCAGAGTAGCGAGCACCGTGGATCCAGGTGATGGGCCGTGAGGCGGTCGGGGACTGAAGAACTGAGTCGAGAATGGAAACCAGAGGAGTGGCGCCAACACCAGCGGAGAGGAGAACAAGAGGCTTCTTTGCAGCAGAAGTGTCGGCAGGGTCGAGGGAGAACTCTCCAGCAGGAGGGCTCAGCTCAAGCTCGTCGCCGACGTTGTATCGGTTGTGAAGTCTTGTGGAGAGGAGACCAGCAATCTTGCCAGCAGCGAGATCCTCAACAGCAGGCTCCTCAGTAGGACCCTGGAGCTTGACACTGATGCGGTAGTGGCCGGTGCCAGGAGCCTCGCTCAGACTGAACTGACGGCTCTGAAGAAGACCATCGAGCTCAGGGATGGGAATCTGCACGCTGACGTATTGTCCGGGGAGGAACTTGGGCAGAGACTTGCCATCAGTAGGCTCAAGGTAGAAGCTAGTAACAGAGTCGTTCTCAGCCTCCTTCCTGACAATCTTGAACTTGCGCCACGAGTTCCATTCGCCAGCAGCCTCGTACATCTGACCCTCGCGCTGGATGAAGATATCAGCGAGCTGGCCATAAGCAGCAACCCAAGCGTCCTTGATCTCAGTCGTCAAAGCAGAACCGAGAACCTCGCCAATGGCACCAATGAGATGTGTGCCGACGATGGGGTAGTGCTCTGGCTTGATGAAGAGAGAAACGTGCTTGTGAGCAATGCGCTCAACGGCGTGGGAAAGCTTGCCGAGGTCGTCGATATATGTGGCGTAGGCGAGGACAGAGTTAGCGAGGGCAGCTTGTTGGGCTCCCGTCTGCTGGTTTCGTAGAGAGAAGTAGTTCTTGAGCTCGGGATGAGCGCCGAGCATGTTACGGTAGAAAGTGGTGGTGATAGTCTTGCCATGCTCCTTTAGGATGGGAGCAGTTGACTTCACAATTGCTACTTGTGCTGCGGTGAGAGCCATTGTGTATTGCTTGTTTGGCGTTGAAGAGATGTGAGGCAGAGTTGAGATATTGTTTGTGTGGTGTTGATATACTAGGTGATGCCGAGAATAATATCGTCAAACTGGCCAACCCTTAGACTCTTTATATACCATGCCGGAGAACCAGTCATGGCGCGGAGAAAGAACATTACGCTCTTCATGACTCTCAAGGTCAAGCATCATGCCATGCAAAACGAATAGCTCATGGACCCGAATACAGCGCCGTTGGCCGTGTGGGTTCCTGGATCACGGTCCGATCTTGATGGTGGTCTGATGGTTTTGGTTAGAGCATCTCCGCGGGGTGAGCCGCACGTCACCGGGATTGGCGTTGGGGCTTCTTTTTTTGGATACCGTTTTTTATGTTAGTTACTGCATTCGTTGATATGTGTCGTCGGATCCAGACTGATGGAAATGCAGGGCCCAACTATATCCCCAGGCTTGACGTTCCTTTCATGCTAATGCCCCGCCGTCTTGCGTGTAAGTTTGGGAGAGGCAGGGTAGTTAGAGCAGAGACGATCAAATAACCAACCCTTGCCTTGTGTCATGGTTTTACATACGCTGCATTGAGTTGTCTGGCAGTCAATCGCTCAAACATGCCAGTTATTTCCTGCTGAAAGGCCTCAATTGCCCAGGGAAAAAGTCTTGCACTTCACGGAGATGCGGAAATACCCAGCTCTTGACCTTAAATTTTCGATGCCACGAGCTTGGAACATTGAAAGCTGTGACAAAGAGTGGGCTGACACCTGTAAATAAGCATCGGATCACCCCGGGTTCTCGAAGATAGCTCGGAACGGCTCTTGCGGCTGCAACGGGTCGAGACTGTAGATTCCTAGCATCGACTAAACATCTGACTTTCGTCGTCAATCCAGAGTCGCATTGGCATTGAGCGGAATGTCACCGCGCGAATCATTGCTGCAAGATTGATAAGCTCCTTAATCTGTGTCTCCTTGTGACTTGCAAGGCATGACAGGTCTTGTCTATTCCATCCCACGTCATGACCTTGATGCATTTCTTGGCATGAAAGCTGAAAAAGTGTCGTTCAGGCAAAGGAACTATTCCGCCCTGCTTGACAATTGCTCGTCTCTCGTTGGTCAATGGATCGCCTCAATTCATCCCTCACTCATGATACCCACTGCAACGGCACAACCCACAAACATCAACAACTCCACCATGATGCCAAGCAGGGCTCATAAATCTTTTTTCTCGTGGGAATTCCCATCGGCCGCGTGGCCTAATGGCTAAGGCGCTAGATTTCGGCTCCAAATCTCCCGAACTCTCTAGAGATTCCAGGTAGGTTCTCATTCAAAGGTGCTTCTCTGCATCCAGGCACTGACATCTCCAAAAGGTTCGACTCCTGGCGTGGTCGTATGATCTGATCTATTTCACATTTTTGGTCATTTTTTAATGTTGGCTTCTTGCATTAGCCCTGAACATCACTGCCTTCTTGAGCTCGCTAATGAATGCGTTGGGTATTATTGTCAAGAGTTGTCTAATCGCTCAAATCACCGCCAACCGGCAAACATCTTCTGTGAAGGCGGAAGCGTCGGCCGTTCTCTTTTGCAACCGACGGGAACGCTGTAACTAACGTAAAAAAACGACGAGATCCCGTCATCGCGGCCGAATGGCTTTGAGACGAGATTATGCCTTGCGAGGTCTGCGGTTCCTCCAATAACTATCACCGGGCTGTTGTACTGCCTCGATTGAACGGCACCCGGGGTGCCAATGGTCTTCTTTGGTTCCAAACGGCCACATAGCAATCGTGTTGACCTCGTCTGGTTGACAGGGCTGTGGCTTCTTCCAGGTTGACCAACCGAGATCATCCATCAGTGCCCGAATCACTGCTCGACCATTACTGATCGCCTTTTCCATCTCAGTATCGTTTTCATTGTCAAGTCTGATTCTATAATCCTTCAGATCCGAGCCGGATGCTTCGAGCAAGGCATTGCGGATCAAGAACATTGTTTGACAGACGGTGCCCAAAACCGTGTTGAGAGATGTGTAAATCAATTCATCTTCGAGACTCCATTGTTGCCTGGCTTTGAGGGCTGGCCGGAGATAATGTACTCGGCATTGCTCAATAGCATCGGCAGTCCTGTTAACCTCTATTTGATCTAACATGGACTTATCATCGGGTGATGGTGGTGCGTCGTACCAGGTCAATGTGGCAGCCTCGACCTCATCGATGAAATGGTGCGACTGCAACGGTTCGTGCACCA